CTTTTTGAGACAGGGTCTCCCTGTAGCCCCAGCTGTCCTGGGACTCGCTGGCCTTGAACTCACAGAGATCCGCCTGCCTCTGCCTCCCAGGTGCTGGGATTAAAGGCGTGTGCCACCATGCCTGGCTGAAATGAAAACTTTTTTAAAAATAAAAATTTCAAGGCTGAGCATGGTGGTTATGCCTGTAAAACAGCATTTAGAGACAAAGGTAGGTGGATCTCAAGTTTAAGGCTAGATACACAGCAAGTTCTGGCAAGCCTGGGCTACACAGCAAGATCCAGTCTCAAAATAAAACAAAAAACCTTTTGAAATTCCCTGCATTTTATAGTTATACTTTCAACATGCAGAAAATAATTCTCATTTAAAGAAAGAAAGACATACCAAGATTGAGTCTGTTTCTTCTATTACTGAAAAATATTAGATTTAAGGGCAACTTGAAATGTACATGCTTTATTCTTATTATAGGAGATAATCATGCCTGAGAATATGAGAATAAATATTTTAACTTCAAATGTTTTACATATCCTGAGGGTTCTTTCTTCTTCTTTTTTTGGGGGGGGGGGCGGGTATAATAATATAGCTCTGCCTGGCCTAGAACTTGGTATGCAGACCAGACTGGCCTCAGAGATCAGCTTGCCTCTGCTTCCTGAATGCTGGGATTAAAGGTGTGCACCACTACATCCAGCTGATGCCCTGAGTTTTTGTCTATGAAAATCTAATTTTATTTTTGAAATTTACTTCAATGGGATTTGTAAAATTTTTCTTTAATTGTAGAATTTTTCACTGTAGGCACTGAGTGACCTAGTAATACAAATGTAAAGTCTGTTATCTTGGGGCTGGAGAGATGGCTCAGCGGTTAAGAGCACTGACTTCTGTTGCAGAAGACCTGAGTTTGGTTCCCAGCACCCACAGAGGGGTTAAAAACAGGCCAAAACTACAGTTCTAGGGGATCAGACCCCCTTTTCTGACTTCCATGGGCACTGCACTACAGGTGCACTTACATACATGCAGGCAATACACTCATATATATGAATCTAAACAAAGAGCTCTTATAAAATTACAAAGTATGAGTACTAGGTACCTTACAAAATAGTAGCTACTTTAATCCACATGTAAATAACACAAAATAAGAAGATAATGAATAAGCCCAACATTCTCTCTTTAATTACTTAAAATTTAAAGATACATATTCTTTTAGAAAAACAAAAATACATATACATTACTAAATAAAAAGTATGCTGGTTACAACTGAAATTCTACTTAAAATGAGACTAGAAGTGCCTTACCATTTTCTCCATTTCCAGAGATAGTAACTAGAACAGAAGAAAAAGAATAGTGGATAAATATACTTTAACCATTTTGTACATGAGTTTTATTTCAGAAAGTCAAATATTTACTTAATTTCCTTTCATAAAATTCTAAACACTTTAAAATGAGAAAATTCAAATACTGTATCATTAGCAACACAATTACTTTAAAAGTTTAGGTCTTTTTAATTTCAAGTATTTTAACATGGTGATAATGTGATAAATTTCTTTGGCTCTTTCCTTAGTACCTGTGGAATGAACAGGACTGTTGTCTGTGGCACTCATAATTTACTCATTAGTCTACGATACATCTTAACAACTTCTTATATTATTTATTATTATTATTTTGGTCTTTTTTTGAGACAGGGTCTCCCTATAGCCCCAGCTGGCCTGGAACTCACAGAGATCTGCCTGTGTCCCTTTCCCCCATTAAAGGCATGAACTGTGCAAGCACAAGGACCTGTGTAATCATGTAAAAAGCTGGGAATGCAAGCATGCCCTCGTAATCCCGATGGTGAGAACATGGAAGTTAGGCAGATCCCTGGGGCTGGCAGGCCAGCCAGGCTCCTAGCCTAATCAGCAAGTCCCAAGTCCCAGTGAGACACCTGGATGGGGAGAGAGAAACAAAACAAACCCAAGGCAGACAGTTCCTGAGGAATGAAATGAAGGCTAACCATACACACACACACACACACACACACACACACACACACACACACACACACACACACACACACACACACGCACACATACACACTCGAATTTCCTTTTACCTGACATTTAATAATTCTATACAGTTAGGGAGTGCAGTGTGATAATTCATGTATGTATAATGATCTCAAATCAGGCTAGTTAGCACAGAAATTTAACCTAGTATCTACCTCTTCTGTCTTGTATTATCTCTGTATTATCTCATGAGTATAATAAAAACACTCAGCTTACCAGGCCTGAAAACTTTGGAATTTCTATTTACTCTTTCTGGATGATCCCAAAGCACAATCCTGCTGATTCCAAGTCTATTTCAAACATGTTACTTTCTCAGTTCCTCACAGTGCCTCTCCCTGCCTTGCTCAAATGCAAGTGTTTAAGGCATCTTCCATATCAATTTAAACTTTCACGACTACAAAAGCTGGTGGTTGAATACTGCATGTTTAACACCTGTTCAGAATAAAGCTCAAAATCTTCAAGGCAGCATACACTACAGCCTGCTATCTATCGCCTGCCACTCCAGTGTGACTTGCTTATGCTTTTGGTCGAATTACTCTGAACAAACTGAGGTGCCTGAACAGTTTCAGTGTGCTTGTTCCTTCCTAACCATCCTTCAGGGTTCAGTCTACTACTTCCTCTATGAAGCTTTCCTGAGCCCCACTTCTGGATCTTTGTAATGCCTCTGCTCACTACTTCATTTGTACCATTCTTTCACTCTCCTTCCCCCTTCTTGTGATTACTAGCTGATGGACCTGTCTCCTTAGACAGCATGCTCCTTGAAGAATGAACTAAGGACATGTCTTAGAACAATAAATCATTAGCTCCATTTTACAGAGAAGTAAACTAAGTTTCAAAATAATTCAATGACTCACCTAAAGACAGAGAACCAGTATACAGAAGAGTGGACAGGATTTCAACTAAGTCTGTTCAATGTGCACTTGTTCCCATAGTTATCTCTCATCTTATTCCATGTGTTAGCCTCAAAGAATGATATACACCAGCAATAATTGTTTACTGACATAAAATCAATTTTTGGCAGGGCATGGTGGTGCCAAAAAAAATCCCAACACTTGGAAGGCAAAGGTAGGCAGATCTGTGAACTGGAGGCCAGCCTGGTCTGCATAGTGAGTTCCAGGTCAGCCAGGGCTACATAGAAAGATCCTGTCTGCTAAAAAATTTTTAAAATAGGACTATATGGATCACCCCCCCCCCAGGATGGGGTCTCCCCATAGCACAGGTAGACCTGGAATTCACTATTTAGACCAGGATGGCCTTGATCTCAGAGACTGGTCTGCCTCTGCCTCCTGGAGTGCTGGGATTAAAGGCATGTATACCACAACTCCTGACTAGGGACTTTTTTGGGGGGGGGGGTCTTTTTGAGATAGGGTTTCCCTGTAGTCCCAGATGGCCTTGAACTCTCCAGCCCTGATAAACAAGGTTTTAATCATTCCTTTTTACTTTAAAATACATTTTACGAGCTGAAGAGATGGCTCAGCAGTTACAAGCACTGGCTGCTCTTGCAGAGGACCCAGGTTCAGCTTCCAGCACCCACATGACATCTAACAACCATTTGTAACTCCAGTCCAGGGGATCCAACACCCTCTTCTGGCCTCCAAAGGCACTGCACTCATGAGTGCTCTCATGAGTCCTCAGCCATGGTACACATACCACCTCACTGCCCAAAATAAATAAGTAAATAAATGTAAAAAAAGTAAAAAATTGCCGGGCGTGGTGGCGCATGCCTGTAGTCCCAGCACTTGGGAGGCAGAGGCAGGTGAATCTGTGAGTTCAAGGCCAGCCTGGTCTACATAGTGAGTTCCAGGACAGCTGGGGCCACAGGGAGACCCTGCTTCAAAAAGACCAAAAAAAAAAAAAAAAAGTAAAAAATTGAAAAGGAGGCGCTGGGGATGTAGCCTAGCTGATAGAGTACCTGCCTAGCATGCACAAACTCTGGGTCCTACCACCAGCAATACATAAGCCTGTCATGGCAGAAGCAGGATAGGTTGTTGAAGAACAGAGCAAGTTCAAGGTCAGCCTGGGCTCAGCAATTCTAAATAAACAAAAAATGACAAATGTTAGTAAAATCCTACCTATAGGTTATATAGCAATAGTGATGCATTCCTAGATAGTCAAAGAAAACCCATTATAAACAAGGGGTATACACAAACTGATATGCAGAAATCAGTAGTTTTCCTATGTATAATATAATCATCCTCTAGACAAGATTACACAGTAAAAATATTTTAATGCTTGTGATGGTCAGAAAGTCTGAACAAATAAATAGGCTCTGTTCTTAAGGGAATGAGTTATCATTTTCTCCATAAATTTAGTGTGATTTCTTTTTTCAACTCTAAAGATCATTTGTAAAAATTAAACTCAGCCGGGCATGGTGGTTCACACCTTTAGTCCCAGCACTCACGTAGAGGCAGGTGGAAATCTGTGAGTTCAAGGCTGGCCTGGTCTACATAGTGAGTTCCAGGACAGCTGGGGCTACAGGGAGACCCTATCTCAAACAGACAAATAAATAAACTCACAAAGTAGGAAAAAGCTGAAGAAGGAGAATGAAGTGTGACTGACCGTCATTCCAAACAAAGAAGCATATTTTACAAGTATTTAACAGGGCTGGAGAGATGGCTTAGCAGTTAAGAGCACTGACTGCTCTTGCAGAGGACCCAGATTCAATTCCCAGCACCCACATGGTGGCTACGAACCGTCCTTAACTCCAGTTTCAGGGGAATCCGAAGCCCTTTTCTAACCTCTGTGGCTTTGCACGACACAGGTGCACTTACATACATGCAGGCAATACACTCATACACATAAAATAAAAATAATAAAATCTTTTTTTAAAAAGAAACAATTTACTAAAAATCTGAGAAGGCAATTCCAACATTGTTTGACCCTCATAGTACCTACTCCTAAAATGCTAGATAGTATGGATCAACCACTTAATGTGGCCTTCTTAATGCAATGAAGAGTAGCAATAAAAATCAGGTATAGTAGCAGCCCAGAGGCTAGGAGGTTCATGAGTTCAAGGCTACCCTTGGATACATACTGAAACTGTCTTAACACTCACCCATATAACCCCAGACCAAAGGTGGGGAGGTGGGCTGTGGCACACTCCAGTAACCCTCCAGACATTTGGGAAGTGGAGGAGGATCAGGAATTCAAAGTCAGCCTTAGTTGCACAAGCAAAGCAAGTCTGGACTACATGAGACCTTGTCTCAAAGACAGAGCAGAGAAAAGGGAGGAGAGTTGGAGGAAAGAAGATGCTATAAGCACAACACAAGATGTATAAGGCTGCTACTAGTCAAATACAACATCCTGTTTTACAGCAAATATGAAATTTCAAATTACTACAGTTGAGTCAAAAAGTATATTGGCACAAATAGACATGAGGCAGGCAAGCCTAGAGGTAGTTCAGTCTGGGACCCTACTTGGCTTGGATTATGCAACACTCCCTCTTGTAATAATGCACTCAGCAGCCTAGCTCCTGCATGGTTTGGCGATTTTGGATATGATTTCCATGTACATTTTAAATTCACTGTATTTGTTTCTTTAAAAAAAAAGCCAGCCAAGCGTGGTGACACGTCTTTAATCCCAGCATTTGAGAGGCAGAGGCAGGCAGATCTTTGTGAGTTTAAGGCCAGCCTGGTCTACGTAGTGAGTTCCAGATCAGCTGGAGCTACAGGGAGAACCTGTCTCAAAAAGACCAAGAAAAAAAAAAAAAAAAGCCAACACTTGGCTTTTGGTTGGTTTTATGCTGACCTTATGGATCAATTCAGGGAGAATAAGTATCTATAATATTTTTAAATTTATTATTTACTTTAAAAATATTTGGGTGTACAAGTGTTTCCCTGCATTTATGTAAGTGCACCAATGCATGCAATGTTCTTGGAGGTCAGAAGAGGGCATGCTGAGACCCAATCTAGGTCTTCCTCAAGAGCAGTCAGTGCTCTGTTTGTACTAATGCCATGAACTTCACTCTTCTCTTGTCTGCAGTTTGTATGCACATGCGCATGCGTGTGTTTTGTTTTGGTTTGGTTTAAGACAGGGTCTCCCTGTAGTCCCAGGTGGCCTGGAACTCACTAGGTAGACCAGCTTGGCTTCAATCTTACAGAGATCTGCCTGCCTCTCTGCCTCCCAGGTACTGGGATTAAAGGCCCCAAGCATGGCCCCAGCCCTTAATTTTTTAATTCTTAACAAAGATAAACTTTGATCTGACATTTGTATCTGCTTTCTTCCAGAGATTCTGGTCCTTAAGGAAACAAAGCATGAACAATCAAAATATTCTA